GCGGGGGTGCAGCAAGACATGTGCGTATTTGCTTGTGTTTGCATCAGAGAAACAATAGTGCTCTGCTGGGTTGGAGTCGGGGGAGGGAAGGGATATTGTAGATGAAAGTGTATATGACAAGAATTTATTTTGTTGTTATTTTTTGGTGGCTGGCTGGTGCAGGGATTTGAACCCTTGAAGATTTAAATAGTATAAATTTATGTTGTTGGAGTTTTGAACCACATAAAAGCATTTCCCATTTAAAAGAAAGTAAGAAAGAAAGGAAAGAATGAGAGAGAGGGGAAGGAAGGAAGGGACAGAGAGACGGGGGAAGGAAAAAGAATGCTCCCAAGGAAGGCCCGTGTACTCGAGTCTGTCCTGCACTGGCTCCAACCCAGATGTTTTCCCTGCAGTGTTACATCAACCAGACGAAGTGGTGGGTGTGTGTTTCAGGCCCACCACATATAAAAGATGAATCTTTAATAACTAAAATCCCATCCAGTGTGGCAAGATGCCCACATGGTGAACAGTTCTCACGATCTGAGGGCACAGAGGGTCCCCAGCCCCTGGTTCTCTCCTCTCGGGTGTTTGTTCACTGAGGGGAACAGTGGGCTCAGTTGCTCTTTTTCTTTCTTTTTCTCTGCGAGCAGATGCCCTGAAGTTTGTGTGGGTTAAACATGCCCACAACGTGCGCTCCCTGTGCAGTGCGGGGGGTTTACGCTGGGGCCTTGGAGCTGGCCAGAAAAGCTGTGCTACGTGCCAGCTGTGTGGCTTCTGGCTCCTTGACCTTTTTGGGCCTCAGTTTTCTCATTTAAGAATTAGGGAGGAGAATAGCTTCTTGGAGTGCCCTTAGGAGGATTATATGAAATAACATCTGCCCGGCACACGGTAAATGCTACCCAGCACCATCATCACCACCACCAACCCATGGTGATGGACTGTGGTCACGGGTCTCCGTCTGTCTCCCCCAGAGTCTGTAACCTCCCCGAGAATAAGGGCCAGGTTTCATTCCTCTCTGTGCCCCCAGAGCCCAGCACAGAGCCTGGCTCTATACTGCTGCCCAGGCAGTGAAAGATTCTGTGTCCCTGAGCCCAGCATCCCAGAGCACATTGGGTGCCTGTGCCATTGACGCCCAGACCAGTTGGTATCTACAGATCCCAGCTGGAGCTCTGGCTATGCCCAGCAATGTGGCTTTGATGGCACAGGGACAGGAAAGGGTTTCTACTGAAAGTGACATGGTTAACGCTCAGACTCTGAAGCTAGACGATCTGTGGCACTGTCATTTTTTAGCTGCGTGACCTTGGGCATTTTACTTAACTTCTTTGGCCTTCAATTTTCTCACCCACACAATAGGATTGGGGTGAGAATTGACTGTCCCCAGCCTCCTCTCTTATCAGGCGGGACCACCCTTTCCCTCGAGAGCTCTGCAGTTTCTTGCTCTGTCTTTGCACCTGCCATTTCTTTAACTGGAAACTCCCTGCACTCTCCACTTCCATGGCTAACTCCTACTCACCCTTTACCACCCAGATCAGGCGTCGCCTCCCCAGGAAGCCTTCCTGGATGGCCTCCCCCCAGCTGGGTCAGGGGCTCTCCTGAGCCCCATAAGTCCCCTGTGCATTGTCCTCTCACTGGGCTTGCAGAGCGTGAAGTTGCTGCGGGGCCTCTGGTCTCGGATATAGCCCCTTCCCCGTGCCAACGTTGCTGAAATTAGGATTCAGCTACCACGGCCATCGAACATCTTTGTGTTTCCTCTCCCAGATCCTTGAGGCATATTATAACTCGAGGTCTCCTGAGAGTGGAGGGCAAGCCACTGCTTATGCTTGTGGCTTCCCTGCCGGGCTAGCACTCTTGCAGGTCAAAGCCTGGATGGCACTTATCTTGGCCTTCTCGGTCCCAGCTTGGGGCCTGGCAGGTGTGGGCTCGGTGAGGAACAGGCCTGAATCCCTGGGAGGCATAGAGATGGGGGAAAAGACCTCTATGTGAACAGCCCCCATCCTCCCCCCCAGGCCCGTGGTCTCCCTCTGGATATCAGTCCTTCTGCCATGTGTGACACTGTGCCCCCAGGTTGCCCAGGGGCTGAGAATGGGTAGGGGATATGTGCCTCAGAGTTTCCGAATTTCTCCTGGACTGAGGGGTGGAGGAGCTGGGGTGAGGGGGACAGCTCTGGTGAGGCTGGAGAAATGAGGGAGGACTCAGAAGTTGTCCCCATCTCCCTGTCTGAGCAGGGGCGGGGGTGGGGTGGCTGGGGCCAAATTGTGATCTCCCAGTGAGTGACCTTAGACCAGCCCTTTCCCAGCCCAGGCTTCAGTGTCCTCATCTGTGAAATGAGAGTGGGACAGCATGTTCTTCATGTCCTCCCGTGCCCCCAGCACCAACGCACTAAGACTCTGTGAACTGCTGAGCGTTTTAAGGAGATCTCTCGCCTGTATTAATTAACGTACTAATGAGAGGAAGCATTTATTGCCAAGCCTCTATCCCTCACCACTGCCTATGAGTTGCCTAACTACTCCTGCTGTGCACACTCTACAGACAGACTTACAGCAAACAGGCTCAGAGATGTTGAGGGACTTGCCTGAGGCCACACAGCCAGGACAGGGTGGAGACTGGTGTTGAACCCACTAGGTCTGAAAAAAAAAAGGCTTTTGCAACACCTCCCCGCCCCCACTGAGTCTGCTCCACCCACCCCAGCAGTGGCTCCTCCTCTAGGAATCCCCCGTGGCTCTGGGGAAGTTCAGAGAGCCCGAGGAGGGGGCCCATCCCAGCGGCAACCACATCCTGTGACGTTTGCCCTGGGGAGCGCCTCCTCTCCACCTGAGACAGGTGAGGGGGGAAGATAGGACCCACCCAGCCCCACAGGGATGGGTATCCACAGCCCAGCATCTTCTGTTCCCCCACCCCCCACCCCTCTCCCAGGAGGGCTTGGAGGAGAGATGACCCCAGCCCTCACCCTGTGGACAGAGCTGGGCACTGGCCATTTGCTGCGGGGCTAAAATTACTCCCTCTGAGTGAGTGAGGGATGGAGCCCAGAGTCCTCTGTGAATCCGCTCCACTGTGTCCTCTGTATCTGCCAGCCCCATCTCCAACTCCTCCTGGGCTGGGCACAATCCCTTTGCCAGGCAGCTGTAACATGAAATGCCCTCGCCTTGTCCTGCCTCAGGAGCTTTTGGGGACTCAAGTTGGAATTCATTCAGCGCAGCGTCCCCTGCCCGCCCAGCCAGGCTGTTGTGGAGCAGACAGGGGAGGGCAGTGGTTGCTGAATGCTCAAGGCCTCTATCTCTGAGTCCATCTCCCCCAGGAGGGCAGGCCTGTGTCTTCTTGTCCATGTCCCCAGCATTTTTCATGGTGCTGAGCCACAGCCGGTTTTCCAGGTCACCCAAACACTTCCACCTCAGTGGACAGAGCTGCCCCCACCATTGCCCCTGCCCTACATACATGCACACACACGCATACATGTGCACACACACACATGTGCACGCACACACATGCACACTACTTGCACACACGTGCACATGCACACATACACACACACACATGCTGTACGTAGCGGGTGCTGTTGGTGCTCCTCCTGGACCATTCCCACGGAAGACAACTTCTCACGGGATGCGCCTCTGACTCTGACCTGTGGCTCTCTGGGCACGGGAGTGTGCTCCGCTCCATAGTGGTGGGACAGCGGGTTAGTGTCCCTCCACCCATGACAGGCAGAGGGTGGTGGATCACTATCCAGCTCCCTTGCCCCTTGGTAGGACTATTCTAAGGTGTGTCTCCCATGGGCCCCAGCAGGACTGAGCCCCAGTTGCCCACAACGGCAACCTGTTTGTGAGCACACTCTGTATTGTCTTCCTTCTTTCCCGGTCTCTTGTCCTTGTTTTCTTACCAGAGCTTCCAGGAACCACTTCCAAATAAAGGACTTGAGCTCACGCCTTCCCTCCTCTGCTGCTGAGGGACTCGACTCCACCGCACACCACACACATGCACACACGCCCACAGCCTGAGTTCTATAAGAGTTCAAAGACTTTATGTCCTGGTTTCATTGAGCAATTCAGTTTAATCTCAGGATGCTCAGAGCAGGACACCAGAGTCTGGCCTGAGCCCCGGGCCTCTCTCTGAGGCTGCCTGGACACGTTTGCAGCTCTGGTGCAATGTCACATAATCATTCGTTCATCCTGGCAGCACCCTGGTTGATCCAAGGAGACAATTGGGGACTCAGGATTTAGGGCAGCCTCTGAGCCCCTTCCTGGCAGACATCTCTGTACTCCTGCCCCCATAAAAACTGTGCCCATGATTTTGGGGTCTGGGCTGGGACCATTTTTGTAAACTTTAGAAAGCTGAGAATAAGGATCAGCTGTCGAGGAAGCTCAGAATAAGGGTAGTCACTGCAGGAAGGTCTGTGCCCCTGGTGGGGTCTGAGGATCTCTTGAGGCAGGACTGGCCTCAGGCCCCAGCCCCTTGGTCGGTGGCACAGTCATCCTGCTTGTGGTCAGCTGCTGTACCCAGGAAGGCTGTATTCCCTGCCCAGGTGTAGTTGCCACCCCAAGCAAAGGCCTGGGCCAGCTGGTGTGCTGCCCCACCCCCAGCACCCACCTATCAGAGTGACAACAGCCGCTGGCACATGGGGCCTCCTTGGCAGCACTGGGCCAGGGTCCCTTTTCTGCCCCTCTCAGTAGCTCTGGGCCCTGAGCTGTCTGAGACTCAGGGAATCAAAGCACCAGACCCCTGAGGGTTGCAAGGGACCTCAGGAGCCATCCAGTCTGGCCCCTCCACACAGCTGCTAGAGGTGGCCCAGACACTGCTGTTGACCTTGAGACAGAGCTCACACCTCTGGGAGGCAGCATCCTCCATCCTGGGGCTCTGTTTGGGGCCGGGGCAGGGCTGTGCCAGCAGGGGCTGAGAGTACAGGGGATGGGGTTTCCTTCCATCTCTCCAGGGGGGTCTCTCAGCCCCATGGGGGATGAACTGGGAGGGTTGGGTGGGGCAGGGGAGGCCAGTGCGAGGGAGCCACCCAGGAGCCTCGGCTGGACAGTCTAGGCTGCTCCGATGTCATCATAGTCATCATTGTCGGTGGAGTCGGGCTGGGGACTGTGGGACCCTGTGGGGCCGGAAGGCTAGGTCAGCGGGAGGCCCAGCCATTGCCCCTGCTGCTGTCCCATGGGACAGGCTGAGCAGGTCTGGGTCCACGTCTCCCTTCCCCCATGATGCTGCATGAGACCATCTTATCATCTTGGTCACTGCCGTCTCCCAGGCTCGAATGTCAGCCGTGAGGGCAGAGCCTTGTCTGTATCCGGGCTGTAAACTCACGCTGGCACAGTGGCTATGACAGATGACTGAGCGCTGGGAGACTCTCTGCTACCACAGCCTCCCCAAGGGGCCAGCCAGCTGCTTCTGCTTGAATGCCTCCACTGACGGGCAGCTCACTTCCTCTAGGACTCTGAGTCTTTCTCCAGCCCATCCACATCCATTTTCCTCACTTCCTCATCTCCTTGTTTTGTTTAAAAATTAAAACCAATAAAACAACAAAGAACTTTCCCCTCTTTTCTTTTCCCTTTCCTTTCTCCTTTTTCCCCTTTGGCTAATGTATCCAACAGATCCATAGCTCCCCCAACTCATCCAATCCTGAGTTCCTCTCTGTCCCGCCTCCCAAGGTCCCCTCCCCTGCCACTGGCACCTGGACACCCAAACTGCTCCACTGAAGGGGGCTGGGGTGGTGGCTGGAAGTTCTGGTACCACTCTCCGGACGAGGTGCTGGAGCTGTCATCAGCTGAGGACCCTGCTGGAAACCCCCAGAGCCAGTCACCCTCTGCCAGGAGACAGCCAGTGCATGACCCACCAGAGCCCCACAACTCAAGAGAGTCAAGTCTCTAGCTTGACAAATGAGGAAATGAAGGTCCAGAGAGGGAAAGAGACTTGTCCAAGGTCACACAGCGAGTGGCTGTGAAGCTGGGACTGGAATCTTGAACTCAGCCTTGCTAAGGATTCCCAGCCTTACACTTCCTCCAGCCAAGTTCGTTACAGGGTTGGGGGTTGGGGATGTGCAGCTTACCTGGAAAGGTTGTCCGGGAGCCAGCCAGCTCCAGGTTCAGGGGCTGTTCCAGGAATGGCCTCCTCTCTGAAGAAAACCCAGGGGGGTTCCATGGAGGGGGCTTGCTGTGGGGGCTATTGCAGTAATCCTCCCCGGAAGATGTGCTGGACCCACTGCTGCTCCTTGGGTGGTGCTGAGGGCCTAGGGGGAGGGGCTCTGCAACGCAGTGTCCGGGGATGGCAGCTGGCACGTGGGAGGTATGCAGCTCTTCAAGTCCTGGGACAGGAAAGGGAGAGTGGTGAGGACAGAAGCCATGCAGTGAGAGGACTTTAAATCAGACTCAAGAAAGTACGTATTGCCTGCAGGAATTGTTAAAGTCCGGAAAGACCTGATGAGGGAGGTTGCTGCTGGTACCACTCAAGGTGAGCTGAGCTACCGAGTCTGGAGGCAGGGCTGTCACCCTAATCACCCTTCCATGTTCCTTCCTAGCCCAACTCACCTTCCTCCAAGGGCGGCATCTGGAACCTGCTCTGCTGGACCTCCTCATCCGTGACCCGGTGCCGCTGGGAATCTGCAAACAGAGGTGGCAATGGGGAGGCGTGAAGGCTCAACCTCCTCATTCTGGGAGCCTGCAGGAGGGGCTGGTGTTCTCTGGGCTTGGGAGAGTGCCCCGTGGCTGCACAGGGCAGAGGACAGCCCTAGAGGTAGAGAGGGGCTTAGCTTTTCTCATCAGATCCCAGGCTAACGTCCTAATCCAGGCAGACCGCTAACTTCTATCTAGGGCACCTGAAACCAGCAAGGGGACAGCTGCTGCTGGCCAGAAACTCTAGTGCCCCGTGCCCTGCCCTCCACCTCATGCGTTGGCAGCTCTGGGCAGGAAGAGGGCCAATGTTTGCTCCTTTGAGGAACCTTCCTGGAGCAGAAGCCTTCAAGTTTCAGAATCAGAGAGACGGAGATTCATAGTCTTGAGAATTTGAGTGTCTGGGCTCTTGGGGTCAGCTCTTTTGAGCCTGGTACCACTGACTTGTAGTCTTAGTTAGAGGATTTCAGACTCTCAGTCTTTCATCTTACATGCCTAGGCTCAGAATCTCAGGTTCTGAGGACAATTCATCCCTGTGGCTCCCAAACACCTGTCCATGTTCCAACAGAGGTGGAATCATCCACAGCCCACCCAGAAGCCCTGAGTCAGCAGGTGGGGCAGGGAGGGCTAGCTGTTCCCTGATTGTGCATTCTCCTGTTGTAGGAGCCCCTTGGCCTTTATCTAGCTGCCCAGGGTACGGGCTGCCTCCCCTGCTTCTCTTGCAGCTAGTAGGCTAATGTCCTGGACCGTGAATGTGAAGCAACGACGTGGGCATCTCCAGCATCCTGTCTTTGCCTTTCCTGCTGCCTGAAATGTGGACATGGTGGTGAGCCATTCTGGACCGTGTGGATGAGAACAACATCTTAGGGACTGCACAGCAGCCAGAAAGAAGGAGCCTGGGCCCTGCCAGGTTCTCAGGCACTGTCACTTGGGGGTCTCTGTCACACACAGACAAACTCTCATTCTAACTTAGGTAGTAGGATTGGGGCTCAGGAACTTTTGACAAGCTCCTAAGGGATCCCACAGTAGGTGTGGGATTCTCTGGTCTAGTCCAATCTCCCAGCATTGCCTGGGCCCTGCCTTAAGTGCTGTCTTCCTCTTTCCACCCCCACAGGCAGAGTGAGGAGCTGGACAAGCTGGCTGAGAGGTGCGAGCTGGCATAACAGTGAGGTCGGGCAGAGGGTGGTACTGCTGGGGTCGGGCAGGGCAGGATGGGACACAGAGGGGTATCAGAGTGCAAAAAACCATCCCAACTGCGTCTCTCGCCTGGACTCCCTCATGTCTTACACAGACACAGCTACCTTTAGATGAATATCAAGGGCCTAGTTATGATCTTAAGACCCTACACTGCCAGAGCCAAACATGGGAGAGATGGAGGTCAGAGTGGAAATGGCTGGAGATATCGAGATGTTTCCAGGGTTGCAAAGCACCTTGAAAACTTCAGTGTGGGTGGGACCATTTACAGGGGGGGTCTGCCCATGCCCTGCAGGGGTCACCCTACAGGGGTCACCAGGTGGGACCTACTGAAGGGAGGCCCTCTCTCTGATTCGGCAGGTGGGACCTTTGGAGCCTGGCCAGGCACTCACTGTAGAAGGTGGTCAGGGCCACAGGAGGCTGGGCGCTGAAGTCATAGTGCTCATAGTCTGAGTCCGAGCTGGAGTCCGAGTCCTTGGGGGGTGGGGCCTGGGCCTGGATGGGCAGCTTGGGAACTAGGGAGAGAAGAGAGTGGGGGGCATGGCAAGGTGGTGGGCAAGAAAGGCATAGGGAGAGGTGGCAGAGAGCGTGGATGGCAGGGACAGGAGACAGAGTGGCAGGGAGAGTACCAGGTGGCCCATCTTGTACAGGACTGCCCAGCCTGGGTTTTCCAAGCTCCTCCCACCCATTTCAAATATGGGGAACTGAACAGCATTTTTTAGTTTAGCAAACACTTAACACGGCACTCACTATGTGCCGGCACCATTCTAACACTTACAAATACTATCTCACTTAACTCTCGGAAGTCTGTGCAGCAGGTACATTATTATCTCCATTTACAGCGGAGGAAACTGAGGCACAGGGAGGTTCTCACCTTGCCCAGAGAATCAGGCAGTCTGGCTCTAACTCTCTAGGTTATACTATTCGGTGAGCGACTGCTCCGTGCTTAGCCTTGCACTAGATGGTATATTTATATTCTCTTTTCAAATATGTGGATACTGTGTGCAAAGAATATACTATTTGGCTACATTTTGTATTGGTTTTCATGTCATTGAACTCTTTCCAATAAAGGTGATTAAATACATTCATAATGCAATGTGGTGAAAGGATAGATGACTGATCCAATTTTTTTATTTACTCAGAAAATGTGAAATAAAACTTTGTTCCAGGAGAATCTTTATGGGACTCTGCAGGGCGGCTGATTGGGCAGGCCATTTAAAGAGGTGACAATATCACAAACCTACTAGCCAATTAGCAAAACAGAGCTTTCCTCCAAGGAACAAGATTCAAAAATGCCCTCAGCCTGTATTTGTCCAGAACTTGCAAGCCTAGGATGGCTGAACTGGAAGGTCACCTGTCCCTCAAGGTCCGTGAATGGGCTGGCCCAGCTCTCATCTCCAGCAGGGGCACTGCTTTGACCTAAGGAGTACTGACCCTCCAGAAGGTACATCCTTCCTGTCCTCCCCAGCCCTCCCACACCCAGGATGGGTGACATCCTACCTTCTTCTTTGGGGATAGTGATGGGGACCGCTTGATAGCTATTGATCCCTGCTGGGATGGTGGTGGGTAGGTGCTGATGGTTCACTGTAGCAGGGAGAGCTGAGGGAGGGGAGGCAGAGATTCTACGAGTCATTTTTTTTTTTCTTTTTGTCTTTTTTTGTGACCGGCCACGGGATGGCAACCCTCGGTGTTGCGCCCGCACCGCGCTCAACCAGTGAGCGGACCGGCCTCTACATGGGATCCGAACCCTCGGCAGGAGCGCCTCCGCGCTCCCAAGCGCCGCACTCTACCGAGTGCGCCACCGGGCCGGCCCCTACGTGTCATTTTTTTGCCCTCTCTCCCCATCTACCTGGTTCTGTTCTCGTCCTACTGCTCACTCTCATCCTTGCTCACTCCCCCAACACACACACACACACACACACACACACACACACACGCACACACACACACACGCACACAGGGTCTGGTCTTCCCATGGGACCCACACTGCTGGGCATGCTGGGAAAATCCTTTCCATCAGGAGGCGCTCCCCAGGGCCAGGGCTGGGTGGCCATTGCTGGATCACGCCATTCCTGCTGGGGTTCCCCCGAGGCTCACATCCCCCTGGGATGGCCGCACCCCAGGCCTCTTTCTTCCTGTCCCTGCACCTTTCCCATGACTCCCAGAACTTGGCACCTACCATATTTTCCTTTAACTCTCAAGAGGATGAAGACTATGGAGATGAGTGAGGCAAGGAGGAGAATTCCCAGAATGATGCAGAGGATGAGGAGCATTAGCTCCCAAGATTCCTTGTCTTCCATTTTCACAGTCACAGAAGATTCTGGAAACAAGAATCCCAATTTAGGGAGAAAGAGGAACAGACGCAGACTTCTCTTCATCCTTCTTGCCTTTGCGTTTTCTCTACAGCTGACCTACTTCCCTTTTTAACCTTTCTTCCTTTTTTCACTTTTTCCCAGCTGCTTTTAAGTGTCTGGTACATAGTAGCTGCTCAATTAGTGCATGTCGAATGAATGAGTAACTGACTCAATGAATTAACTACCTGAAACTTTCCTCTGACCACCAGCCTACAGGGATCTCTCTCTTTTAGCTCTTCAGTACTTTGTCTTTGTCCAATACATAATTACTGAGTGCCCACCATGTGCCGGGCACTAGGTCCTGGGGATACAAATATGACGAAAGTATCACAGGCCTTGAGGGGTTCTGTCTAGTGAGGAGGTCAACAAGTAGACCCAATCCAATATGCTGAGACACTTGCTGTGATGGAGGTATGAACAGGCACCTTGGGGGCATGTGGCCCTACAAGGGACACCTCATTCTCTATGGGGGAGGACTGGTTTCCCAGAGAAGGTGACTCTGAGCCACCCCTGGCCGTGAGCAGACCATCGAGAGAGCTGGGTCTTCTTTCTGTGCCTGGACCCCTCCTTCCTACCAGACACACCCTCCATGAGGGCAGGAGCGTGGTCAGTGATTCGGGCCTCCAGCTCTGCAGACCCTGTTCTGGTGATATCTTGCCTTCAGCTCCCTCTTGGCCTCCCACCTGCTTAGCAATCCTGGAGTCCTGGAGTGTCCCGACCACAAGGGCTGGATGAAGGGTAGTGACGGCAGCAAGGGAGAGGGCAGATGAAATCATCCCAGCACCCTGGTTGGGGGCAGTGTCTGCTTCCCCTGGGAGATGACCCCTTCCCTGTCCTAATTCTCCCCCGTCCCCTTTCTATCTGCAAAGGGAGCAGCTCGGGCCAGGATGGGGAGCTGGATAGCAGCAGGATGTGGGTGCAAGGGAGAGGCTGGGCTGTGGGGGCTATGGGGTGACCAATACAGAGGCGCTATGGCCAGGGAAGGGGCTGATGAATAGGCTGATGGACCGTGGGCTGGGGCGTGGTCCTCGGAGGCTGGGTCCTCTTTGCTCTTCTGGGGTGGCGTGGCTCCCCACCCTGACCTCAAGAAGAGTGCATGAGGGGTGCCATGGGCCTGGCAGGAGCTCACCCACAGCCTGCGTATGGTCTCCAGCATTTCATTCCCTCTCTGTGCCCTCATCCATGGCCATGGCCTCTGTCAGGACTTGGTGCCCCTTCACTCTGTCCCCATGCCCCTGTCCATCCTCCTCTGGTGTGTCCAAGAAAGGGTGAGAGGGAGTCAGGGGACAGGGAAAGGGAAACTAGGCCTGCCCCTGTGGGTGTCCTGGGGTGGCAAGGGGCTCTCTGCCTGGACTGAATAATCATAAGAATAGCTGATGCCCTGAGAGGCATACTGGGCACTAGGCCCTGTTCTGAGTGCTTTACAAAAATTACTTCACTGGAGCCTCGCAACTCAAGGAGAAAGGTACTATGATTATCATCTCCATTTTGTGTTGAGGAATCTGAGGCTCAGAGAGGTTAAGAATTGCCCAGCATCACACAGCTAGCAAAAGGCACGGCTGGGATTTGAGTCCCAGGAGTCTGCCCTGTCACCAGCCAAGCTACACACAGCTGGAGGACAGATCAAGCAGAGGTCTGGAGTTAGAGCCTTGGATGCAAATTCAGGCCAACAGAGCTGGCTGTCACTTCAGCCTCGGAGCCTCAGCTTCTTCCTCAGTGTAAGGGCTGCAACAAGAACTCTCCCATTTGGCTGCTGAGAAGAGTAAAGGGCTGGGAAATAATGGCTGTAAAGTGCTAGGCCTGGCGCCTGGAACATAATAAACACAGCAACTGGGCCTCGGCATCCCCACCACTGGCTGGGCCAAGATCACCTCTGCTCGAGGTGGTATCAGACCAGCTTTGGCTCTCTCTCCAGCTCTATCCTCCTGCCCTACAGGAGCTCACAGGAGAGTTGGGGGGCGGGTGTGGACTCCTGTCCACCAAAGATCAGGACGCAGTGAGCTGCGGGCTGACTTGGCAGGGAGGGGAGGTAGCAGGAGCTCAAAGTACCCAGGGAGCCCCAGGAGGCAAGTCCATTGGCTGCAGATGGGGGATTGGGGAACAAACCATCAGTCCCTCCCACCCCCCAAAGACGCACACACACACGTCCGTGCACACCCAAACTTCTTTGACACCACACAGCCAGCAACACTCACCTAGAGTGACCGACTGGACACTTGCAGGGACTTCGGTGGACAGATTGTGCAGACTCCGGGAACCTATCAGAAAGCACCACCCGATCACTCAACACATATTACTGGGCACCTACTGTGTGCCAGGCATTGTGCTAGAGACTGTACGGGACAGACAAGTGACCTGGAACTGGGGCCTTTTCCACCCTCCTGCAATAAGCAGGAGCTCAAAGATTAAACGCTGGGAAGGCTCTTTGGTTAGAAAAAGCGGCTAACAGATGAATTATCCCTTCTTTCTGTATAATCTGCTACAGACAACAAATCCCTTTTCCATTCAGTCTTTAATTTGTTCTTATGGTCTCAGGCAATGGGGAACTGACATTATCTTCATTATTATAATCAGCATTCCCACTTGACAGGTATGCTTACCATGGAATGGAGCTTACAAACCCCTTGTAGATATTATCTGATTTCCCAGCTACTGTGTGAAGTGCCTAGTATCAGCATCCACATATTTATGAAACTGAAGCCCTAGGAGGTTAAGGGACTGCCCTAGCCTCAGAGCCAGAATTTGTAACCAGATGTCTGAACTCGGTAAGAATGCTAATACCATGTTTCTTCAGGTCTAACACTTTTCACACTTAAATGCCTCTGAAATCGGGATGACGGCCTCAATCATTATACTTGATGGCATATCAAGAGTTTGTTTTGACAGCCTTTGTTTTACTTTATGGTACATAAAATAATAATGGCATGACATAATCAATGCCATCTTAGATTTGGTGAAATATGGTAGAACCCAACTCATAGAGTGAAAATGAGGCTTAGCTGGAATTAGAGCTACGGAGTGCTTGGCACTGCCTGGCACATGATTAGGGTTCCAGATGCTGTCAAGGACATTATTATTAGTGTCTCCTAATATTATTTTTATGGTGATCACCAGTCCTGGGATCACAAATTGTTTTAAACTCTTGAGCCAATTCCAGTCAAGGGGGAGGGACCATTGCTTAGCACGTATTAATGTCTTTATAAACATTTGATTCATGATGCTGGGGCTGAGTCAAGCCTCTGTAGAAAAGAACGCCCTGACTGATTAGTGATGTCTGCCTGGGCTCGGTAAGGGCAATGGTCCCTCTTATGCCAGTATTTGCCATTGCTGATCTAGTCCAAGCTGTGGTCCTTGGGCTGCAAGCTCTTAGGATTTGGACTCAGGTGGAACTCTTGGTCCAAACTGTGTGTGTGTGTGGAGGGGGGGACAGGTGTTAGGGATACCTGAGCAGAGGACCCTGGCTGCCAGCGACTGGCTGCAGAGGTTGGAGTTGTTGAACCGCCAGGAGCAGTTGGCAAGTGTGGGCTCCGCTCCGGTGCAGGAGTAGTACATCCTGCCCGACAGCGAGTGGGGCAGACCCTTGGGTCGTTCGACCACGGTCCCACAGCCCAAGGCCCGGCAGAGCACGTCGGCCTCCGGCGGGTACCACTCGCTGTCACAGACGGTGCTCCATAGCCCTCGGAAGTACACCTCCACCTGTCCTTCGCAGGGGTCCGCGCCCCCGGTCAGGCGCCAGGACTGGTGCTCTGCGGGGGAGGCGCACGGGGCAGGGTCAGGTCAGGATCCTGGGGGCGGGGGAAATGCCCGCCAGCCCAGAACTCCCTCCACGAGGCCGCGCACTGACCTGAGCACACCACGCCCGCGTCCTCCTTGTGGCCGCAGTAGTGGTCTCCCGGCAGCCCCGGGCAGTCCCACAGGTAGGCCTCGGTCCCGGAGCAGTTCACCTGGTCCCGGTGGATGGGCCCTCGGCCGGGCGCGAAGTGCAAGCCGGGCAGGGCCTGGACTGCCCAGCCGCAGCTCAGTTGCCGGCACACGACGTGGGCGTCCTCCAGGTCCCACGTGTCATCGCACACGGACCCCCACTGGCCGCGCTCCAGCATCTCCACGCGGCCGGCGCAGGGGCCGCCACCGTCCACCAGGCGCAGCGCGCGGTTCTCTGGGGGTGGGAAGGGTTTGTGGATGGCGGGGCACGGGGCTGGGCGGGGCCGGGAGGGGTGATCGCGACCCGGCAGCACGGTGGTGGGCCGGGCTGTGGGCCCAGTGAGAGGGGCCGAAACACGGCGGGCAGGACTGGGAATCCTCTCGGGGCTGCCCGCGGGCAGGAGGAGCTGCGGGCTGGTGGGAGGGACTAGACACCTGCTGGGCGGGGCCCGGGG